TGGTGAATCCAACCAAGCAGCATCCTCAGTTGAAGTGACAAGGTGCGTACTGCATATGTAACTTCATAGTTTTCTAACATTCTTTCGTGCCAAATCTCTGTTCCAGCCATTCCTTGCCCTTTTGGTCAATTTTTCAAACCCATTTCCAGTCTCTATGGATGCACGCGTATCTGATTGTTTTCAATCACATATTCAATGTTTCATGATATAAATGGTGGATGACCATGATGTGGCAAATAGTGTTATTTTTGACCTCTACTGTATGAGTCTATTTGTTTGCAGTATTCCAGCACTTTTCCTTTGTCTTCGGTAGTTTCAATTTTTGAACACACTTCTTTCAGTAATTTACCTGTAACTGATGCTGGAGCTGAAAAATCTGAGATGGAATCAGATCAATCAAACGCTGTTCCAGCTGCTGCTGAGGAGGTGGAGTCTGCTAGCAGGCCGGCAGACAGTAGTGGATCTATCACGACAGCCTTAGCAAGTGCAGGGCATACTTTAGGAGGAGCTCATGCTGAGTTTGTCCTGAATCCGCTTCGAATTGCATTTGAGACCAAGAACATTAAAGTTGTGGAGCTTGCATTGGATTGCCTTCATGTAGGTGCTTGTTTTGGTTACTGATATTCAGTTTTAAAAATTATTTATTTGCTGAAGATATTTTTCTGTTCTTTTAAACATTTGGCATCAGAAAGTTGATGGTTTTTTTTAACTCATACAGTTCTTGTTTTGGTTACTGATATTCAGTTTTAAAAATTATTTATTTGCCGAAGACATTTTTCTGTTCTTTTAAACATTTGGCATCAGAAAGTTGATGTTTTTTTTAACTCATACAGTTCTTTCTTTTTACTGTGTATTCTTTGCGTGTATGATTGCACCTCCATGTGTTTTCAATGGAATTTTACGTATGTAATGGAATGGGAAGGGCAAACTGATTTTGCTGCTTTGAAACATCATACTTCATGCTCATGAATAGAAAATTACATACTATACTGAGTTTGAATGTTTTAAAGATATCATCACTGCTTGTACTAGGCTAGACGCTCATTTAAAGCACCTAGGAAATTTTATTGCACAGATCTAAAAAATTATGGAACTCATCCAAATCAGCTTATATTTTACAAAACAGAAACTCATTGAATACAATCACCTTGAGGGTGATCCTGGTCTAGATGGTGGTAAAAATGCACAACTGTTCACTGATGTTCTCAACATGGTCTGCAGTTGTGTGGATAACTCATCACCTGATAGGTATATTTTATACCTTAGTACATGGGACGTTGAAACTTTTTTTTTTATTTGTTTGCTATTTACTGGATGTAACTCCTGAGAAAATGAAATGCAGTACTACTCTTCAAGTATTGAAGGTGCTTCTTACTGCTGTAGCATCGACTAAGTTCAGGGGTATGTTATATTTACAAGTTCTGGTATGCTTAACTATTCCTTATTTTGAATTTTCTTTTTAATAAAAATGTTTTCGTCACAATTTTGTGTACATGAAATTTGGGAGAAAGAGTATTTTGTTATATTATATATGTTTTATTAGCTCCGTTATTCATGTTTTTATGTTGGTCCTCTTTTATGTTTTCGCTCTAGTATCATGCTGCTATTTTACTCTCAATTGATATAATGTTTCTTCCTGTGGAATAAGGTTGTCAAATTTTTGGATAGGACTAGTTGTGTAAGCCTCAGTGATTGCAGAGAGTTGAGAAGTCAATGGAAGTCAGGAAGAAGCAAAATAATAATGCGTATGGAGGCATAATATATGTTGCTCAAGGAAGACCATACTTTTATGGCTGAGATGTACGTAGTCTTTTGAAGTTCTTTCGATAGTCATGGTCACTCCACTAAAATAGAACTACAGGATAATTATTTTGCAAAATTAGGCATCTTGAAGACTGAAAATGCCTTTGAAGTAAATACACACGAAAATTAACTACAAAATGAAACCTCTTAAGTTTAAAACAGATGGTTGCACATAATACTTCCAAAACGTGCAGAAAGGGTCAGGCAATCTCTTTATGCCTCAAATAGTCTCCTGGTGCCATTTCGTTAATTTTTTCCTTCACAAGAGCCAAGATTTTATAATTTTCTCGACTTGTGGATATCGTCACTCTAAGTCTATCAGACAAGCCTATTTTCTCCAATACCACCTTTTAATCTACACATTAAGTACGTCCAGGTTCCCATTTGATTTTGGGTGCTGCCTGGCAGTCTTCTTTGTGTGACTGTCCACAGATCCTCTACACAGCAAAATGTAGGCACTTTCCGAAGACGCGATTTTGCAGAACTACAGATCTGCTAAGTTGTTTCATATGTTGAGGGTAGACCAAGCTGTTAGACTTTGCAACATGATAAGGCATCAAGGATATGAAGGAAGCTACATTGAAAAGTATCGTGCGAAATCCGCAAGTGTACGGGATCGTTGTACAAGTAATAAGATTTATGAGTTAAGGGTATCTTTCCAACGAGGAATAAGGTTTAATTTGTAGTTCAATAGCTACTATTAAATTCGAAGTGTGGTGACTAGGGCTGTCCATGGGTCGGTTCTGTTCGGTTCTGAAGATACCCGAACCGACCCAAAACTTTCGGGTATTTAATAAATGGACCCGTCGGGTCCAAATATAATTATGGAACCGTTCGGGTTCTGTTCCTTTCGGTTCGGTTCCGTACCATAATTAAATTTTTTAATATTTTCAACAACACTACATAAATACAATTAATAACATTTCATTCGTAACTTTTACAAATTAACGTAGCCCAATTCAAAAAAATATACAAAACTAGCCGTCCAATAAGATTAATTCAATGCATACAAATACCAAAAAGTAGATATTAATATTACAGCAAAACTA